TTACATTTCCGTATTACATTCTTGCCGTGCAGCGATAGACGAGACCCAAGGTTGTGTTTATTTTAATATTTTATAAAGTATTGTATGTAACTAAATGAAATTCAGAACAAAAGTTAAAATAGACAGAGGTATAAGTATATAAAATTAGACAGAGGTATAAGTATATAAAATTAGACAGAGGTATAAGTATATAAAAATAGATAGAGGTATAAGTATATAAAATTAGACAGAGGTATAAGTATATAAAATTAGACAGAGGTATAAGTATATAAAATTAGACAGAGGTATAAGTATATAAAATTAGACAGAGGTATAAGTATATAAAATTAGACAGAGGTATAAGTATATAAAATTAGACAGAGGTATAAGTATATAAAATAAGACAGAGGTATAAGTATATAAAATTAGACAGAGGTACAAGTATATAAAATAGACAGAAGTATAAGTATATAAAATTAGACAGAGGTACAAGTATATAAAATAGACAGAGGTATAAGTATATAAAATTAGACAGAGGTATAAGTATATAAAATTAGACAGAGGTATAAGTATATAAAATTAGACAGAGGTATAAGTATATAAAATAGACAGAGGTATAAGTATATAAAATAGACAGAGGTATAAGTATATAAAATAGACAGAGGTATAAGTATATAAAAATAGATAGAGGTATAAGTATATAAAATTAGACAGAGGTACAAGTATATAAAATAGACAGAGGTATAAGTATATAAAATTAGACAGAGGTATAAGTATATAAAATAGACAGAGGTATAAGTATATAAAATAGACAGAGGTATAAGTATATAAATTAGACAGAGGTATAAGTATATAAAATAGACAGAGGTATAAGTATATAAAATAGACAGAGGTATAAGTATATAAAATAGACAGAGGTATAAGTATATAAAATTAGACAGAGGTATAAGTATATAAAATAGACAGAGGTATAAGTATATAAAATAGACAGAGGTATAAGTATATGAAATAGACAGAGGTATAAGTATATAAAATAGACAGAGGTATAAGTATATAAAATAGACAGAGGTATAAGTAAATAAAATAGACAGAGGTATAAGTATATAAAATTAGACAGAGGTATAAGTATATAAAATAGACAGAGGTATAAGTATATAAAATTAGACAGAGGTATAAGTATATAAAATTAGACAGAGGTATAAGTATATAAAAATAGATAGAGGTATAAGTATATAAAATTAGACAGAGGTATAAGTATATAAAATTAGACAGAGGTATAAGTATATAAAATAGACAGAGGTATAAGTATATAAAATAGACAGAGGTATAAGTATATAAAATAGACAGAGGTATAAGTATATAAAATTAGACAGAGGTATAAGTATATAAAATTATGTAGAAAACGCTCGTTAATTAAAGAGTTTTTAGCAGTTGTGACATTACTTTTGGATCAACCCTCGAAAAATCCTATTTCCTGTCTCTCCACTTGTATGATATATTTAGTCACATTCCGGAAAATGAATCTTAAGAAATAATGATTTCGAGAAAAGTATATCAAATCTCAAAATCACTTAATGTTTGAGCAATGTGGAAATGAATTAACATGAGAAATTGAAGGTAATGTACGTTGATCAATACAAATTGAAATCGGGCAAACAAGAACCCCTCGAAACACCTGGGATCAGGTGCCCAGGAGGAGTAAGCATCCCATATCGACCAGCCACAACTGCCATGATGAGGCAAAAGAAACAATTCGTTGAAAAATCAATATGAAATGGTCTAAAATTTTGTATAACAACTTCAGTCAAATGCATCTTTTCTTTCAATGTAATTATCATAGAATATACCGATATTTGACTGTAAACGAGGGCTGAAACCCGTATGCTTACATCCGGTATTTATTATTTTTTTCTTATTAAAAATGTCGAAAGCTTAGGAATTTTTTGATACCATTAAACATATGGAGGTGTCAAAAAGTTAAAGTAGTAATTCTAATTGTGAGGACACAAACGTTGAACGTTGTACAAGTGCAACACCAATGACGAAAATCAAAATGCAATTCAAAGAAGCGATATCTTATAAATTTCCATGAAAATTTGAGCATTGAATTGTAAATTTTTAATATTAATCGTATCATAGCACTTACGGCTGTGTTGATATTCTCTTAATCAGCATAAGCGCCAGCGGTTAGGTCAAAAATTTATAATTCAATGCTTAATTTAAATAGACATCATGATGATCATCATGAAATGAGTCCGTTTTTTTCTCGTTATTATTCATGAAGTAAGTGACGTCACACTATTAAAGAAGTAGGACGCCATGTCATTTAAATTCATCATTGGATGAATGATAAAGTGTAAATAAATACCCCGTTCGGTACCCCATTGTTTTTGTTATTTTGTAATCATCAATTTATATGTTTGCTTAACCCATTGTGGAAAATAATCCTATTGTAGACCTTCCCGAATCTCTCAGGAATTTAAGTCTCAATGATTGAAAATGATCACATCTTTGAGATTGATCAACCCGATATATTTCTGTAGGCAGCCAGTAATAAACCTAATAAGTGATTGATTTTCTCGAGGATCATAGTGTGAGAGACAAACACAAGACAGCTAGGCCCATGCGTAGCTACGTTTATCAGGAGAGGGGGAGAAAGGAGCTTTAAAAGAAAAGGCAAGCGAGAAAAAAAACATTAAATGCACAAATGGGAAGGGTGTAGAATCTATCTTTATTACATTTTCAACAGTGAAATACCGTGATTTATTTATTGAATAAAAGTGATATTCTCTCACAGTGTGAAAGGATACCAAAATGATACTCTCTCACAGTGTGAAAGGATATCAAAGTAAGTAAAAAATAATTTCTGGCCTGTCATAAGATAGAGATAGTACTTACGCATCTTGATAGAGCTAAAACTGCAAATTTTTTCCCAAATATGTTGCAAAAATCCATGCTATGTAATGTTTTCAATGATCACACAACTGCTAAGCTATGACGTCTCAACCGCTCAACTATGACGTCAAGCCTATGACATTGTGTTATGAAAAGACAGAGGCAAAGTAAAAATCAAAGAAAATGTAATAGACAGAAAATTCAATGTTTTGTAGTTGAATATGGAATTTATTTCACTCGTGAGACAGGATTTTTTGATATTTTCACTCGTGCTTCGCACTCGTGAAAATATCAAAAAATCCTGTCCCACTCGTGAAATAAATTCTATATTCAACTACAAAACATTGAATATCCTCTATGTATTTTTTTTTTTTTTTTTTTTTTTTTTTTTTTTGCAATTTTTAATGCAATAACACAAAGTTTGAATGATTTAGAATCTAAGCAAAACATTATTCTTGAATCAGTGGGACCCCCGACTCTCTAGAGCGACAGGCCTGCAAAAAGTGCTCAAAATGATTGAATAGAACATATTTTATAATTCTGTTCATATTCACGTGTCTCGTAAAATCTCGACTAACGATTGTCGTCAAATTTCAGGCAAATTCATCAAAAATGTCAACCTCACCTTTTACCATCAAATATCTTGAAAAATCATTGAGCACCTTTGTTTACTTTTAATAATTTGTTTCTGTTTAATTTTAAAAGATCCATCACTTGTGATGCAGACAAAGAAATCTAAAAGTCGTTTCTAGTGATGTTGACTTCACAAAAATGAGAGAGTTAACATATATTTACGTTCGAATTATATTTAAGTTTTTTTTCAGTCAAACTCGCGCTATTTAAAAATATATTGGATGTTTAATATCTCATTTTGAAATGCTTGTGTTTATCAGTAACATGAAATTCCGCTCGTATTGCTTATTTTTCAAATTTATAAGTTATATATCATTTTTACCGAAGGCTTAACTCTGTACTTTTGATTTTTTAAGATATTTTCTTTTTAAGAACAAAATTGATAATGGATGTAAGTTTGGTTTGCATTAACCTCTTAACAAGTAGGCGTGCCGTTATTATTTGAAAATGATTGTTTGTACTGTGTTTTGAAATGCTAACACTTTTAATGATGTCAGTATTCAACATCCGGTCCTTGAAGTAATTCTTCCGTATCCATCTGGTTACATTAGGGAACATTATGTAGAATGTTTAGGTGGAAAGGTGTTTAATGCTCATCAACTGGTTATTAAAGGTAAGTTGCCTTTTAACATATTTTATGGATTGAGAAAATCAGAAAATAAGATAAGGTTTCTCTTACCAAATATTTCAATGGCTTAGGCATCTACTATTTTCCGTCTGCCAGTGAGTTTCTCTGTTTAATGATGCACAAGGATTGTGTTTTGTCAGTATTTTAACAGCAAAAAGGGGATTTTTTAGAAGATTAAGGACACTTGATTTCGTTCTCAGGGAGTAACAATTGTTCTTATTATTTACCATTGTGAACGACGCTCTGGACCTATAAATAGACTTTATAATCCCCCAGATTTAGAATTGTTAAAAGTATGACAAATTTGGTAAGGCATATTACATGGAAAATATTTCATTAATACTGATAGAAAAGTGGAAAAATATCAGAAAGGAGATACAGATGTATTAATACTATATTATTATTATTATTATTATTATTATTATTAGACATTGAAAAACAATCTGTAAAGATGATAGATATGCATGCTAAAATCTTTGACTTTTCAAAACGTCAGTTAATTTTTTTTAAAGAGAAACAAGGGAAATTTCATATACTCACAAAGGGTATGGATATGATACAATAAGTCAAAAAATGAAAAATAAAAAACAAGACTATACACTTCATAGAAGGGTTCATTATCCTTAATAATAATATTAATGATATTAACGTCGCTGGTTAAAAATAAAAGGTAAAGGCACCTGATGATCTTCAAATTCAAAACATGCCAAAGGGAAACGCTATATCTAATTTTGTCTTTCTTTCAAGATAATGAGGATCCTCAAAGTATGAGATTTATAATGTTTATTTTAAAAAATTTCATTATTTTTAAAAAATGCAATAAACGTACAAAAGGTGTCATGGCATTTTTTTCTCTCAGAAGAAAATGGCCAACGTTTGCAAGGCTCAAGATGTAGTGAGATGTTGCATGTGTTGCAGCAATGGAGAATTCCGTTGTTATTCCTGCTCCACCATTCTTTGTGAGGCTTGTGTGGGAAAACATATGTCTAGTAGGGTGTCTCATGACGTCAAATCTCTATTCTTCAAGAACCATCGTGCAGAATTTCCAATTTGCTCTCTTCATGAAAATCATAAATGTGAGATGTTCTGTCAAACGTGTCGTTCATCAATCTGCTGTAAATGCATAACTTCCGGGAAACACAGGTCACATGAGGTAAAGGAATTTGTAGAATGTTTAATGGAAAGAAAAACGTGTATTGAAAAAGCAAAACTTGATGTCAGAGACATTATTATTCCAATTTTTGAGAAAATGAAAGATCAGGTTGAGGATAAGTTAAAGATCCTTTATGCAGAAGTTGATAGTATTGAGGAAAACATATACAAAAACAGGGACAAATGGAAGAGACTTCTTGATGCTGTTGTTGAAGATACTATCAATGATGCAAGAAAAATGAAAAGTTGCATTCAGAAAGATCTGATTAACAAACAAGATCATCTTCAAAACGAGCTTAAGCGTTTAAACGAATATCTTCAGAGCTTGACAGAAGTACTAGAGGCTGCTGATACACCTGAAATTTTTCATTATAATGTTGATTTTCAGCATTTACTCCAAAATGCAGTAAAAATCCAAATAAAAAGCCCTATATTTTGTGGAAAAATCATTTCAGAAGAGGAACTAAAAGGCTTTTTCGGGGAGATGATTTCTCCCGTTAAAACAACGTTGGAATGGCCAAAAATAGAGAAAGATAAAATGTCTTGCATTAGATCAAACCATTTGCCTGCTTTTAGGCGTAAGGATCTCAAAAGGTTTCGTTACAAGTCGTTTTCTGACAGCGAAGAAGATGTAGAGTCCTCTTGGTGGAACCAGGCGGGGATTGATCAAGGTTATTGTTTATTAAAGATTCCTTTTATCAATGCGATAATTTTCTTGCTGTTGTTGTTGTTGCAGAATATCAATTTGAAATCAATCCTCATTTAAATCTTGGGCCATGAATTATTGTTTATCTATCCTAATGTAACATTTCGTAAATGGCAGTAAAATATTTAAGCATTCTCAATCAAGTCCATTGGAAACAAGCCGTTTGTCACATGCAAGAGTTTAGTTTTAGTTTCCAAAGTATTATTAATAGTTAACCATACAGCGTATGCATGGAAATCCTTTGAAGTACTTCGAAATACAACTATAATTCAATGAAGCAATTTAGCTTCGTTTCATTAAATGTTTTGCTGACGTGGGTTTAAAATTTATGCAATCATATTTTCACAAAGAATATGGTAACTACAGTATGGCGAGAACAGGGGCCCTTATATGGACCTTTGATTAGTTCCAACATTTACCCGTTCTTCCGTACAGTCCTTATGATGATATTAACGTTAAATCTCGTATAGCGTATACATTTAAGAATGTTTTTTACAATACTTAGTACGTCACATTATTAATTTTAATTTTACAGTATACTTAAACAATTTTATAATTAATATAGAATTGAGCGAATCGGTAAAATCAAATAGAAGGCATGGTTTTTACCAAACACCTGCGAGAGGAGGTGCAGGAGGGGGGTTTCAACAAAGATTCTCTGACTCAAACTTGTACAAAGGGTCTCTAGAATCCACAAAGGAAAATAGGTCTTCTGTATCAGCAGAAAGGTAATAGTTAAAAAGAGATTGATTTGCAGATACATCGAACGAAACTAATTTTATATACATGAACTGCTTTTTCTAAATAAAATTTTGTTTGTAACTATATATCCTCTGGTTCTTGTAACAGTACAGGTAGTTTTAAATTATGTTGAGTAGAATGATTTCTTCTACTTCCAGTTTCCTGTATTATATTGTGACGTAAAATATTTGTTCAAAGATTGTTTTTGGATATACACCATAATATTGATTCTAGGTCTCGACAATTTTCAATTCATAAGCAATTTTTTTTTTGATAAAGTTTGAATATATATATATATATATATATATATATATATATATATATATATATATATATATATATATATATATATATATATATATATATATATATATATATATATTAAACACAAGAACACAATTAGGGCAATATATTTTCAAAATTTCTTCATCAAACAATTCGGAGGAAGGTGTGATATAATGGACCAACATTGTATTCTCTTATTTCCAGAGCTTCCACCTTGCCAGCAGGGGGAATAAAACATATTTTCCCGCGATCACCTTCAATGATCTGCATAGACGATGTTATAGAATTTACCAGAAACAACGGTCTTCGATGTAGTGGAATTGTCAAATATGTCGGCAACTTAAAAGATCTTGCAGGGATCTTTGTGGGTGTAGAGCTTGATGCTGAGGGTAAGAAAAAGACAATTCTTAGAGGAGTTCATAGCAGAAATTAAATTTCTTTAAACATATTCTTGTATTTCTTTAAATGAAACATAAAATGGAATGTTGTATAGAAATTTAAATGAAATCATTTCAAAAACAGTGGTCGATTCCAAACCACTTTCTTCATATCTCTCTATTGATGTATCGCTGATACTGCCCACAGTTTAATCTATGAAACATTACAGGTATAATGCTGCACTGTTCACCAGTTTCCCGTGAATCTTGATAGATACTGCAGTTTCTACAAGACGTTCTGTGAAACCTTATGCATCTTTAGATGTTACAGAATGCAATATATACTTTAAGCTTGAAATTGCGGATGTCATTGATGTTAGAATATTTACATCCGCTGAATATTTTCTCCTTTATTTCTTAAGAATACTGATTACCGTTATATCAATCCATTAACAAAAAAAAAACAAAAAACAAAAAAACAAAAAAAAACTCGTTAGAATCGGTGTTTTAAACCGTCTGTTTGAAAGATTTATTTAGAAATTTGCTTTTCAATCATTGTAATGTATGGACCAATAATAAAATATTTTACATACTTTCACCCACTTTATATGAATAAATTATTTTACTGATAAAAATACAAACATATATACAAAAAATGTCCTTTTGTTTGTTTGTAAATGCAGGGATCAACAGTTACAATCATTGCAAAAAAACTGAAATAAAACAAAAACAAAACCAAAAAAAACTAGGAAAAAACAGAAACAAAATACAAAAAAAAAATTATTGGTGAATAAATAATTCATTTAATTCATTCATCAGCATGGAAATAAATGCCGGAACATTTTCCCCCGGTCAGACTACGGTTTCTCTATTACATGGAAATGGGCGGAGACATTTAGATTAAGAAGATCTTGGTATGATACGTATTTTTCTTTCAAATACGAATTATATGTTCAAGATTCACAATGAACTACAAATACATTTTTCTATTTTATACAAAACTTTGGCAATAAAAACTATAACAAGATGAACCAAACAAGTCCATGCTGATCGATATAAAACTGAGTACGTTTCAAATGAGAACTAGCACGTTTACTGGAGGCATTTACCCGTAACGATACAAATCCACGTGGTTGTTATGATTTTAAACAGGTCATAAAGAGGTTAATCGCATGTAAATGAAGTCAGCGAAGAGATTCAAAATCACAATACTTTTAATTAGAAAACATAGAGCACAAGGTTGTTCAACAAAGATATTTTCACTCGACCTTTACACATATAATATACACATTATATTTCAAACTCGACTCTGAACAAACCTGTGCTCGGTGTTTACGAAAGCTTTGAAATATGTAGCTGTCACTGATTTCTTTTGATATTCATGAAAATCAAAGGACCCTACCTTCAACGCGCAGCTTCGAATGCTGCCTATATCTATTGTTTGACATTTTTAGATGATGATTCAAATAATAAAGTCATTAGTTAATAATAAAATTTAATTTTTAAAAAAATTAATAAATGTTCAAAATTTGACGAGTAACCAGGGACCACAGATAAGCCTTATTGAGACTTGTTCTTTATGATATATAAAAACAAAACAAGTCAAACGGATTAATGACACAACTTGGATAATCTTCTCTTGTCACAATTTTGTAAACTTTTCATAGTATAATTTGATTTATATAGTCTACTTGAAATACATAAGTAATATCCAAGCTGAAATTAAATTTTTAATGTAAAAATATAACTGTATAGTTCAAGAACTAGTTGTTGTTTTTTTAATTTCCATATTCATTTTGGAAAAAATTCAGCATTTTATGCATCAGAGAAGACATCATTTCCCAACAGAATCAGATGCACTTATATAATGAACAAATTAATGTTTGTTTTGAAAATTATTTCTGTAGCATATTTTTCAAACAAAATAGTATGATATAAGCAAAATTTATTTGAAGTAGGTAAATTTGAAAGTGAACACTTTTGCATACACACATGTACTATTAAAAACAGTCATCCTGTTTCATTCTTTTTGCCATTAATGTGAAATTTTGATTTAAATATTAGTTAATTCTCTTTATCATTCAAACACACAATATAGAGATGTAAGATTTAATGGAAAGGGCATTAAATAGTACCTTATTTTACATATATTTTCAAATATTTGTAATGCATAGTGAAATAGTAAAGAATTTAAAAATTAATTAACATGCATTAATTTAAATTTTAAAAAAATCTGAATGATTTGAAATATTTATTTACTAATATTCACATTTTCAGAATTTAAGTATAATTTTAACCTTTTACTATATTAATTAAAAACAGACTATAGGTCACCTGTAATTAATTTCTTTTGTTCTTCCCCTCCCCTTACCTGTACACCATTCCCACCTAGCCAAAACCAGTCACCTGTAACAATTTCAGAATTTTGGCTAAGTGGGAAGACACCCGGGTTACATGTGTGTATTTTTTTTCTGCAATGTCGCAAGCATTATCTACGTATGAATAAACAAAGTAAAGAAAACATTTTATTGTTTAAATGATAAAAACATGTAATGAATTAATGTTTAACATCATTTCTAACATTCAGGCGAGTAAAAAAATCGGAAAATATTTTTTCTTAAATATATTTTCTTTTTTAGAAGACGGAAAGCATGATGGGATTGTTAATGGTGTTAGATATTTCAAATGGTAAGGGTATTTTTCTAATAAACATGCTATTGTATTCGCTTCTTTAATTAAAAAAAAAGGTTCCATCCAGGAATGGGCGTGACTCGAGAATTTTACTCCATCTGACTAATTTTTTCCCCAAATAGAATATTCCTTTCCACTCAAATTAACATACGACGGATTACTTAGTATTACGATTAACTCGCGGTAATCTAACTTACTGTCCTTCTTTAGCGTTAAAGTCAAGATAGCTCTGAATCTTACGTGCAATTCATTTTCGGGGCAAAATATATTGTTTACTCGAGTAAATTTTGAATGATTCGAACAATGAGTATTCCGAAAGTACAATGCATTGCCAATGGTTGCACTTCAGAAAGTAAAGGAATGTTTAGACTTCCAAAAGTAACGTTTATAAGAAAGAAATTATTCAATTTATTTTTAAAAGAATGGTTTTAGAGGAAAATATCTGCAAAAATGTAACTCAAGAGAACTAGCATCTTCTAAATTTCATCAGTTTGAAATAGAGATATTTCACCAGGGCTTCTTTCTAAATCTACATTGATCGATTTTATAGTGTATTGAACAGTATAGCACATTGCCCTCAGCTGATCTACGTTTTCTACCTCCAACGCGAAAGAGTTCTGTTAAGTTAAGTAATTGCGATCTCAGTGGTATATTCATATGGTTGTTCGTTTTTTTTTCAGCAAACCCTCCAAAGGACTCTTTGTTAGATTTGAAAAAGTTTTCAATATTTTGAAGAATCCAATAACCTGGGATTAAATAAAAGGCCAGACCAGTTAGCCCTTCAATCCATTGGCGGACAAGAAGAAGAGACGTGAATCATTTGATTGAGGACATAACATTATAAAGTGTATTTATATACGTGTATATTGATGAAGCGTTGTGAAAACTACATTTGACATTTCAGATTTCTTAAAGGTACATACTGAGTCAAAATCGTGTTTCTTTCAAGATAGTTGTATCAGAAAGCGAACGTTTATGAAAATATGAGTATAGTGAGGTTTTGATAAACTCATCTGCACTGTAAAGCAAGATAAGACTGTAAAATATAATTGCCGGAAAAACAGAGCTTGTACATGTATCTACTTATTGTTGTTATCGTCCCGCGACTTTCGTTTTTATTTTTAGCGGAAAACTTGTAATCAGCAGTGTATTGGAGCATGCAAAGGTGAAGAATGCGTTCTGATAATTTTTTTAATACATGTATTATATCGAAATACTCAATCTACCGACACTCATTTCTTGGGACTTGTGACCATGGTTACTTTTTCAACATATCAGCGCACGCGTACAAGAAGGAGGAATAAGTGAAGCAATATTTTCGTCTTGGGGGCATATGAAAAAATTTATCCATAAAAGTGCATTTTTTAGGTTCTGAAACTTTTAATTTTCTGAAACCTAATACTTTCAAGAACTTGCACGGTTCATGCAAAAATTCTATTTTTGCCATTTTTCCAGTTTTTGCGTCAAGGTAACGCTATAAGAAACTAGTATTAATTGTAACGGGGACCGTTACAGATGTTCCCCAAACGCTCCCGAACTCCCTTTTGGTGTCTTATTTCCTGTAAGCTTCATTAAATAAGGCAATTAAATATATTGGTCATTTAACGCATTTCACGCGCGCGCACGTGCATGCATGTGCAGGTTGACAACATCATTCCGTCTGTACTATAAATGCATCTTTATATTCTCAGTATCAAAACATTTCATCAAAAAATATATAAGTTCCGGCTATATCAAGTATATTGGTCATCTTAGCATTGCGCGCACGCGCACCTGTATGCATGTTCATAATGACCATGCCATTTTGTCTACACTTATGATATGTCTGTTTATTCTTAGTATCAAAGCTTTTCATAAAAAAATATAAAAGTTACGGCTATATTAAGTATATTGGTCATTAAACACATTGCACGCGCGCGCATGTGCATGCATGTGCATGATGGCCACATCATCTTGTCTACACTTTTAATATATCTGTATATTTTTAATATCAAAGCTTTTCATCAAAAAATATAAAAAGTACGGCTATATTAAGTAAATTGGTCATTTAACACATTGCACGCGCGCGCACGTGCATGCATATGCATGCATGTGCATGATGATCATGTCGCCTTGTCTACACTTTAAATACATACAAATATTTTGAGTATCAAAGCATTTCATCAAAAAGTTTCAAAGTTACAACTATATCAAGTAAATTGGTCATTTTACGCTTTGCGCGTGCGCGCACGTGCATGCATGTGCATGTTGACCATGTCATCTTGTTCATACTTTTAATATATCCTTATATTCTGAGTATCAAAGCATTTCATCAAAAAATATAACAGTTACAGCTATTTCAAGTATATTGGTCATTTTACGCATTGCACGCGCACGCACGTGCATGCGCGCAAAATGACCTTCGTTCCGCAAATCTACATAACATGCCTAGTAACCCTAAAAAGGTTTCACCTCAATCGGATGTGTAGTTTCGGAGATCACTCACTGACAAAAAAGTACCCAGGAAGAAAAATAATAATAATAATAATAATAACTAGATACTTATTGCCTAGGCAATAACAGGTCTTCCGTTTTCTTGACTTCTTCGAAAAAAAAACCCACAATCTTGCCAATAAGATTACTCTTAATAATTAACAAAAGTCATCTCAAGGCTTCCAAAGATATGTAAATACAAATAAAAACAAACGGAATTACTTTCCTGTTTTCTTTATGTACTTCGTCATGAACGAAAGTGCTCCAAACGAATAAAATGTTCATTCTACACCTTAATTATTCACAACTGATCCTCCCTAAAAGTTTCCATGAAAAACTACTCATGTTTGAGACAACTTCCGGTTTTTCGGTTTGCACTTCCGGAGATAATAAATTGCATGGTTATGGTTTATCTAACATGCGCATTAGCCAAACATTTCTGTAAAAAGAAAAAAAAACTGTAACAATTCACTTTTCTGCATCGCTTCCTGTCACGACCGGAAGTGACGGCAACGTACGATTTTTACATGATGTAGATAAACTGAGGACTGACTATCAGTTCTGAAAGTTTTAGACTTCAGCAATGTACTGTTTCTGAGCAATTTGGTAAACAAAATCTCAATTTGAGGACAGAAAAACACGCGACCGGAAGTGCATTTTCCTAAGATGATTAACGTCACACTAGACAATTGCAATCTCAATAACATATATAAAAATCATTTCAAAAAACTTTATCTATAAGCGATAGTTTTTGGAAAGATAAAAATCCCAATTACATATTTTTCTCTTATAACCGGAAGTTGTCGTTTTTTGTTTCCAGTGAGACCAAAAAATATAGAAACTGTGAAAGAGATTCAATTATATGATGCAAGTTTTATTTCAAAAGTGAAAAGTTTAAATTTTTTATTTCTTTGATCACTTCCTGTGACGACCGGAAGTGACGGCTGACGCTATTAACCCAAAGGGTTTTGCCTACTCCTTAAGTTCTATTACTCCTATAAGTTTAATGTCTTAATCTCTTACTGTTTTTGAGATCTCACTTGCACAAATTCTTATTTTGCGGACAGTAAAACACGCGACCGGAAGTGAATTTTACCAAAATATTTGACGTTACTCTAGACATTTGCAGTCTAAATAACATATTAAAAAACCATTTCAAACACTTAATCTATAAGCGATATTTATGGGAAAGTAAAATGCTCAAATTATATAGTTTTTCGCTTATAACCGGAAGTTGACGTTTTTGTTTCCGGTGGGACCAACATTTTTCAAAACTGCGAAACAAATACAATAATGCCATGCAAGATTAAATCCAAAAAAGAAAAGTTGAAATTGTTGATTTATTTGATCACTTCCTGTGACGACCGGAAGTGACGGCTGACAAATTTAAACATATTCTGCAAACGTACTTCTCATGATCTATAATCCCTGAAAGTTTGAGGTCTTAATCTTTTACCGTTTCTGAGATATCGTCCGGACATGATCTCTTTTGAAAAAACGAAAATTGGACATATCTGACGACCGGAAGTGAATTTTGCAAAATCCTTAAAAATGTTTTTAGTTTATTTTATTTTTCATAATCCCTAAATGTTTCAAGAAAATCCATTGAGCCATCTCTGAGAAATCGCTTGGACAAAAAACGGGAAAAAAATAATAATAATAACTAGTAAACTAATTGTTCAGAGAACAATTAGAGGCCTTTCCACCTTTTTAAGTGTTTCCGTGTCATCTGAGCTGGAAAAAAAAGAAGAAAAATGAAAAAAAAAAATGCTCCTCCAGCTGGGCTCGAACTCAAAACCCTTGGATTGAAAGGCAGGTGCGCTAACCATTCGGCCACGCATTCCGCTAACATATATGAGTTAATTGTTTAAGACTATAGAAGAAATGCAAGCGTATTTTTAGAATCGGTAGGGGAAGAAAGAAGTTCCGTAAAAGGAAATAGTTCCTGAATTTGCAAGCAGTATATAAAATAATAAGGGACGGGCTGCGTGAGAAAACGTTAATACTGTTCCCTAAGGAAAATGTATTAATGGACTGTAGCCCGATTCATCGATATTGTGCGCATGTTGAATTTTTTGTAAATAGCTTTCTTGTAAGCTTAAAAGATCGGGTTCGGATTTTAACATTTCTGACTGAATATCCTAAAATAAATATGAAACATTTAAATAAGCATTTCTTTGGGTTAAATTAAATATGTGTAGCACAAATTAAACTCCCAGCATGCATTTTTAGAAGGGAAACACGACAATGAAAGCGAGAATTGTTCTTTTATATACCGAAAATCGCTATTTCTGGAAACTGATTAATTCTAAATAAAAATCAAATAAATTCCAAATGTAAAAGAAAGAGAGAATGCTTGATATTAAAATGTCGTATCATATCAGGAGAATTGAATGCTACTAACGACATCTGAGGAAATAGCCGATAAAAGGTTTAGATCATTTCTTCGTTCACCTGCACTTAAATTTCAAACACAACAGAACTTGTAGTTTTTGCCGTGAAACTTCATGACTTCTATAAACTTATAAG